TTTTTTTAGAAAAGTGGTAGAGTCACCCAAAGCTGAGGGAACCAAAGGATCTCTGCAGTCTTGAGATATAGGTGAACTTTTTCTGAGTCTTCGCCCACATCCAGCAAATTCATGCGACTCTAAAGCTTACGATGGAGTGATCCACATTGATGTATCGTCATTAGCTTGTATAGTAGAAAGATTAGCTGTTGATACACTTGTAAGGATATACATAACGATACTCAGTGCAATTTCAGTAATCATCGTTGGTAAAAGACCGAAATTAGAGAATCGAGCGTCGAAGAATGCAATATAGCAACCTCCTAAAAATTTTTTCGAAAACTTGTTGTTGGTGATCAAGATAAAAATTCCACCTAAAACGTCTCCCAGTCCTACCATAAAGTTGTAATAAGCTGGCAAATAAATATTTGTTGAAAGCATTTTTGTAAAAGCAAATGTAGCTGGATAAGCTCCAAGCAAATAAGAAATATGGAAACCATAGAAGGCAAAAAATGCAGTTAAAAGAATCATTCTGGGCTCCCGCGCCGTGTCCAGAAGATTCGCTGAAATAATGTGAAATTTCTAGCACCTAAAGAAGTCCAGAAACTCACATATTTGTGTTTGTAGCTTCGTCTCATCAATGCTTTCAAATTCTGCAACATCATTAGATTTTTCCCTTGGCAGCGTGGAAAATATGAGGTTTGAGGCAAGAGAAAAAATGGAGAATACACCATGGATCATATAAATTTCAATGTTCGTAAAATCACTGGAAAAAGTCGAAAAATTCGGAAGAGAGCGCTAACATCTACACTATACCGATAATTTGGTTTATCCTCATCTCCATCAATATCATCACCATTACTTTTTTGTTTGATGTGGAATATGACAAACAAGATAATTCCTCCAATGAGCATACTGAAAACTTTCGTTACAATTTCGCGTATAAGCGAAACCAACCTGCAGTTTGCTATTGCACTGATCAGAGTGGAATTTCTAGTGATTGTGGCCTTGGTCGAGTGTTCCGACATATACAGACCTTGTCCAGAATAGTACACTGGAGAATTGTTTTGATTAGCTGTAAAAGTTAAATTTTCTTTTTTGCTCACGTGCAAAGCCGATGCCCATAAGTGCTTGTGAGGCATAGTAGTAGTAAGAGTTTAGCATGAAAAATCCAGCTTGATAAGTGGTAAACATCAAACTGCCCAGAAATAGAGTCCACTTCGAGCCAACGCGATAACACACCCACGGGGCAAACAAGTTGGACACAGTGTAGAAACCATAGAGGACTGATTGCCTAGAATGTGGA